CACAGACAACACTGGAAGTTAAGGATATAGTATCGAACTTTGAAGAACCAACACTAAGCGTAGGCCTGAAAATAAACGAAGAAAAAACTAAATACATGGTGGTATCAAAAAAGGAACGACAGCGAATAAGACAAAACATTACCATAAACGATCATAATTTTGAGGTGGTCAAAGAATTCAAATACCTAGGAGCAACAATTACCAGTGAAAACACAGGAGAACGGGAGGTTGAAATACGAATACTGGCGGGGAATAAATCATTCTTTGCCATTCAACATCTAATGAGGTCAAAGCTTCTCTCAAGGAGTGCCAAAATCCAAATGTACAAAACCATAATACGACCAGCAGTGACATATGGAAGTGAAACATGGACATTGAGAAAGAAAGAAATCAATAAGCTGTATGGGATTAGTATGGGAACGCAAAATCCTGCGAATTATATATGGTCCTTGCAGGGACAGCGTGACAAATGAATGGAGGAGCAGATACAGCAATGAAATAGAGACTCTCTTCGGGAAAGGAAACATCGTAAGACACATAAAAGCCAATAGATTAAGACACGGCAGGCCACGTGGTACGGAGTGATGACGACAGACTGATTAGCAATGTGTTTTGGGAAAGACCAGATGGTAAAAGATCGACAGGAAGGCCTAGAAAAAGGTGGAAAGACGCAGTCAGGGAAGACCTGGAGAAGATGGAAGTAAGGCCATGGGAAATAATAGCACAGGATCGGAATCAATGGAAGGCAATAGTAAACGCGGCAAAAACTCACACGAGTTGTAAAAGCCAATGATGATGATGTTTTCTGCTTAACTACGTCCAATTATCATCCATAAAATGAACACTCTTTGAGGAATGTGCTTTATTAATAATTTTAACCACTTTTATCTTATACAACGTAACAGTAAACAAATAACCCAAGTCTAATAATAGTTACTCTTTTGCTGATGTACCGTCGAACGGGTAAAATAAATCACATGGGGTTAAGCCGATCGCTAAGGGTTTTTACCAAATATTTTTAGGATTAATAGTATATGTGAATTTACCGTTAAACAAGCGTTGTACCTGTCCGAGGATAAGCCAGTCGCCATAGTGAGCTCAAAGTAACAGGTTGAAAGTGTTGCGTGGCTGCAGTATAGACTAGTAAATAAAACGTCGTATTCGGATGTTTTTTACAAAACTTGGAAAGATTTCCGTCTACAGAAAAAGTGTTTACTATAGAACATTTTTGGTTAGTGTTATTTTGTTGTGGAATTCTTAGAAAGTATTAGTCATGGCCAATTATGCGATTTTTCTTTTTGGGTTAATTTTGATATATTTTTTCTGTAAAATCTGAAATTTGTGGGGTAAAACCGACCAAAAATTCCCTAGTTATTTTATAGATAGCACAGAGTGTGGCGGTGGTTTGGTGTTCACCTAGCTCCTATTCAAATTGGTGTAAGATTTTAACATATTTTTATTTTGTTTACAGACAATACCTCGCACCTATGAGAAGAAGTTAGGGCCAACAAGAAAATTATAGTACAATGAAATTTATATGAAACGAGCATTGAAAGCTGTTGCTAGAGGGAAGAAAGGCCTCTGAGAATTATGGAGTACCTTATACCACCTTACAAGAAAAAAATCTAAAAAAGAGACAACATCTCAAGATTGGAGCGCCACGAGTTCTTTCTGAACTGATAGACAATGATGGCCACGTCGAAAACGAGCACTAGCCTTATGTTTTCAGTTACTGGTGATGGAACACTGTTGCCACCTTATGTATAAAGGATGGTGCACGATATAATAGAACGATTTAGAACAATAGAACAATTAACGATAGAACAATTAACTTTTAAAGGTTTATTTTTTAGTTTTAAGTCTCAAGAATTGAATCTCGTAACTAAAATAAAATTGTTTCAGAGGGGCAAAAAAGTGTCCTCCAAATTAAAATCCATCTTTTGAAAGACCCAGTGGTAAAAAACAACTAAAAGTCAAAAAAAAATTTGTATACCTATCTCAAAAAATCTTCAACAATATCTATGACACAGGAAATATTCCAAAAGAATGGCTGGTTTCAGAATTTATTACATTACCAAAGAAACGGAGCGAAAAAGTGCTGATTTAGGCTAATAAGTCTAACGAGCCATGTAACTGCAAAACTTTTCCTTAAAATTATACATCGCAGAATATACAAGCTACGAGAAGAGAGAATACATGACAGAGTTTGGATTCATAAAAGGCGTAGGTAAGAGATGCACTGTTTAGTCTACAGGTATTATTCCAAAGATGCAGAGATATGACTTGCGATATCTACACCTACTTTGTGGACTATCAAAAAGCATTTGACAAAGTTCAACATCGAAAAATGATAAATGTTCTAACAAAAGCCCGAATAGATGATAAAGACCGGCGTATAATAAAAAAAATATACTTGAGCCAATTAGCCATAATAAGAACAAACCTTGGAAATGAACCGACTGAAGCGATCCAGATTCTGTGAGGCATTAGACAAGGATGTAAACTTTACGAGGAAATATTTATTGAAGCCTTGGAAAATTGCGAACATGGAATCCTTTTAAATGAAGAACGCCTAAACAACATCCGCTATGCAGATGACACCGTTATTTTTGCAGATAGTTTAAACAATTTACAGTAACTAAAAAACAAAGTAAATGAAGTAAGTGAAAGATTTGGGCAAGTAAACATATGAAAAACTAAATTTATGGTCATCAGCAAAAATAAAATAAGAGACGTCCAACTGCTTATCAAGAATACACTAGTGGACCGAGTAAAATAGTTTACCTATCTTGGAACAATAGTAAACGAACAATGGGATCACTCACAAGAAGTAAAATGCAGAATAGAGAAGACTAGGCACAGAAAACGATCCTGCAAAGCGATTTCCTGAAGAGTCAGATCTTGGTGCAAGTTCAAATGTTGTCATCAGATTATCACGGGAAGTATAAGATCATCATTATCATAAAATATATTTTGATAATTATTATACCTCCATTCCCCTAATAAGCTACTTAGCAAAGAGAGGGATACATTATTTAGGAACAGCCAGAAGGAACACGATTTCGTCATGTAGAGTACCAAAGGATTGGCATATGCATATGCCAAAAAGATGAATAGAGGAGAATATGAGGAATTCATAACAAATTTTGATGGAATGGATATCAGTAATGTATACCGAAAAGATAACAAGGTAGTTGTTATGCTGTCATCATTTGTTGGATCTGAACCATCTCAAATCGTGCAGAGAAATCATAGAAAGAAAAAACAAAGGGTAACTGTACCAGGTAAACCAAGGGTAACTGTAACTAGAAGATCCTGAAGAACTATGGAGTGAATTTAAAAACCAAGTTAACGAAATCTCCACAAACAATGATTATAAAAAAAAACTTAATCAAGAAAAATAACTGAATGACAGATGACATCTTGAAATTAATGGAACAACGTCGACTGATAAAATCTAATGTAACAGAATATACACACCTGCAGAGAAGAATAAAAAAGGAGATCAAATTAGCCATAGAAAAACTGATGAGAGAAAGGTGCGACGAAAAGGAGGATGTAATATCTAAACACGACTTATTTAATGTGCACAAAAAACTGAAAGAAATAAGTAATATATTTAAAAAACGAGTTCCCTCTGTACGTGTTGACACTAATAACAAAATTATTGTAAATGAGCAAGAAATAAAAAAATAATGGCAGCTGTATATATCAGAGTTGTTTGAAGATGACAGGAATAATATTGCCGAATTCTACCAAAACTGTACTGACGGCCCAGAAATTATGAAATGCGAAGTAGAACATGCTACAAATAATGCTAAAATTAGACAAGCTTGTGGTCCAGATAATACACCAACTGAGTTGTTGAAACTAATAGAGAATGGTAACATTAAAGTAATAGTAAGAGTTTTTAATTCAATATATAACACCGGAGTGATTCCCGCAGATTGGCTCAAATCCATCTTTATCGCAATACCTAAAAAACACAATGCGAGAAAATGCTCAGAATATCGATTAATTAGTCTTAATGAGCCACACTCTTAAAATTTTCCTAAGAATACTTCACAACAGAATTAGACGCAAATGCGAAGAAGATCTTGAAAATACCCAATTTGGTTTTGGAAATGCTATGGGAACCAGGGAGGCACTTTTTGCGCTTAACATCCTATTACAAAAATGCCATGACCAAAAAAAGATGTATTTGCATGTTTCGTGGACTTCGAAAAGGCACTCGATTAAGAACATGTACCATGACACAGAGAGAAATTGAAAGGAAGAAAATAAAGCCTAACACCTCATATCTGCCTACACTGGATATTAGAGTGGACAAGAAAAACCATTTTCTCAAATGGAATAGCACAAGAGTTCGTTGCAAATTTCCTGGTTGCCATGCCCAAACTTACGTTGTTTGTAGAAAATGCGAAACAGCATTATGTTTCAATAAGGACAAGAACTGCTTTTCAGATTTCCACAGTAATTAATTTGTCACAGTAGATATTTCAATTGCGCAGTGGTTCAAATATGAATCAACCAATTTTTTTTAAATAAACCTTAAAAAATATTTTTTCCCCAATATTACACCTGTTTTAGTATTTCTTATTACCTACCAATACATTTTTTAATTGCAAAGAAAAAAATCGCGCATTGTAGGGTTAAAATAGTAAAAAAAAGTCAGCAAAATAAGAATATAGGTACCAATATAATGAGTCAATAGTCAATAGGCATTTTCATTGTGTGAAGAGCATTTGCGCAGCCACCATGTTGAAACTCTACAAATTCAATTGTTTTGTACCGTTTTGGTTTTGATCAGCAATGGCTAGGAATGCAGTATTATCCCCACAATTTAATTAAATATTAGAAAAAATCGAAATCGAAAAAATAGAAAATTTTAACGGAGAAGAAAGGATACGACAGAGATATTTGGGAAAAGTTGTGGGAGCGAAGGCAATAAAAACTTACTAATTCATGAACGTATTATATGTATTTAAAATATTTCTTACCTTGAAAAGCCTCGTCTACTTCAATATCTTCTAAACGTTTGGACAAAAAACTTTCAACCTTTAAATTAATTAGATAACGCATACCCATAATGCAAGCATCTTTTTTTGCCAACCAAGGATTTTCTCCATATCCTCTAAACACTCTATCCCCTATATTTAAGTAAACCAAATAATTGCTTCCATTAGATTCACTAGTAAATTTAAGGTCGGGATAATACCTTCGTAAGATTTTTGGAGATCTTTCAAAGGAATTTTTTACAAGCGAATAATCACTTTGATACCAACATTTTATAGCTGAAACTGCTGCGTTGCGACTGGCGATAGCTCTTGATTGTGCTGTGCTGTAATATTTATTTTTATCGACTTCTAAACATACTGTTACCGAAGGATTTTCGGAAAGTGTAAATTTCAGCTCACCTTTAAGATATTCAAGCATTTTAATAGGATTTTTATAAATATTGGGTGATTTGATATTAGTTGGTCTTTTGCTTGTGTCGTTTTCAAATTCCATATTTAAATTAATAGTTAAAATCAAATTTTTTGATATTCCACTTGATTACACTTTCCACTGTTCTGTAATTCACTTAGCACGTAGTTCTTGTAGTTCCTCACTTCCTCACTAGTTTCGTTTCGTATCCAGATCCAGACAAATAACTGTTTTCTTCGCTGACAGTGTTGCCAACCTGAGGAAAATTTCCCTTTTTGTGGGAATTTTTTATACAAAAGCTAAAAGGAATAAGTTAACTCAAAAGGAAATTTTTATTCCAGTCCAAATTGGAAAAAAGCATTTAAAAAAAATCGAAAGATTATTTGAAAAGAATTATATGTATCTTCTCCCTCTAGTAGCAATTTAAATTATCACACTGGTCAGAGTTGAAGTTATTTCTTTCTATATCTGCTTGAGTTTGATAAGAGGAATCACATGCCATGGAATTCGATAAGCGAATTCAATAAAGATGTATTTCGGGAAATACCTAGATTAGATTAGATTAAGAGAGGTGGCCTTTCGGCCTAATCCACTGCGACCTTTTCAGATCTATTGTGGTCCTCTAGTCCTAGATAACATTCTCTAGCCTGACCCTTTTTATAAAGTCTAGTAGCTTCGAGACTGTACCTTCCATGTAGCTCTTTGCCCGTGGATTTTCTTCTCCTAATGCCAAGAACGGCACATTTGCCAGACTGTCACACTGGCATAAAATGTGCTCTGCTGCTTCTTCTTCGAGGTGACAGAATCTATATAGGTCATCATCTGATAATCTCATCAGATTCAAGTGCCTATTCGGCTTACAGTGCCCTGTTAGAAGACCTACTACGGCTTTGACTGTTTTCCTGTCTTTGCTTATTAGGTCTGCCGTAAATTTTGGCGAATGTTCTGTAATGAAGTGTTTCGCCTATCTTTGTCCTAGTGAATTCCTTCACCATTCCAAAGATTTGTGAGCTATCCACTTTCTCGTAGCCGTTCTTTTTACTGACTTTGCAACGCCGCAGAAGGGTTCTTGTCCAACGAATGGCATTGATGAGACTTGTTTGGCCATTTCATCTGCTTTTTCATTGCCCTTGTGACCCTCGTGCCCAGGTACCCAGGCTACCGTAACCTTGCAACGGTGTCCTAGTTTATATAGGGCACACACGCAATCCCATATTAGCTTAGAATTGACCTCTACAGAATTGAGTACCTTAAGCGCTGCCTGACTATCTGTGAAGATGGCAACTGAACAGAACGTTCTTTCCTGCCTTTCTATTTCTTCCACGCAGTGATGGATTGCAGTTATTTCCGCCTGGAAAACTGTCATATACTTAGATAGACTTACCGGGAAATATATCCCTTGATTTGTCCCTACTATGCCGGCTCCCACACCCTCCGATGTTTTTGAGCCATCCGTGTACCATGTAGCAGCAGCTTTTATGGGTACACCTTAATTCCAGTCTTCCCTGCCTGGTATTTTAATTGTAAATTTATTGTTAAAGCTATATCTCGTACCTGTTGCATCGCTAGGTTTCACCATCACAATATCGGCTTTTAGCTCCTCGATTAGCTTTCTGTTGTCAGTACCATGCATCTAGCTTATATGTCGGTGACTATGGATTAATCTGTGCATCACAGGGCTTAGCCCTGTATAAAGATATGAAGTGGTGGTAGAATCAACAGGACTTCCAACGATGCAGTAGGAGTTGTTTTTATGGTCCCCGTAATACACAGGCATGCTAGCCTTTATGTATTACCTAGCAGCCTAATTGCTCCCACTTGCTGCGTCTTTGTTCACCACGTCACCGATCCATAGGTTATCATGGATCTAACTACCCTTGTGTATAAACTCATTTTGGGGTTAAGTCCCCAATTTTTACCGCACATTCTTCTACATCTGCTCTGGGACATAGTAGCTTTTTATGTGGTTTTTAGAATGTGAGTATTCCATGTAAGCCCATGATTAAAATATACCTCAAGGTATTTTGTTTCTTTGGCAAATGAAATCTCTGTTCTTCCCAGCACCGGTGGTTTTAGGTCTTGTAGTGCTGTTTTTTGTTGAAGTTGATGATTTTTGTTTTCTGAGCATTGACTATCAGTCTCTCTTGTTTACACCAGTCGTCAACTATATTTAGGGCTGCATGCATTCTCTCAGACACCACCTAAGCAAACCTGCCCCTGACAACGATTGTCAGCATATCCTAGACAATAAAAGCCCTCTATGGACAAACTTCTGAGGAGATCATCTACCAAGGTTGCCCAAAGTAGAGGAGACAGAACTCCTCCTTGTGGACAGCCTCCACCCAGTTTTGCTTTGATGGTTGCTTTATCCAGAGTGGACATTACTATCCTATTGCAGGGATGCCCTTATCCATCTGCATATTACGGCAGGTGCGCCTCGTCTACTTATAGCTCCTATCAAAGAGCTGGTGGTAACATTATTAAATGCCCCTTCTATATCTAAAAAAGCGGCCATTGCTATCTCTTTGTCTTCCATTCACTTTCAGATAAGCCTATTTAGATCATCCCACGCAGAGTCCGTAGATTACCAGGTTGGTATGCATATTAACGATTGCTTAGAGGATTATCTTTTAGCACTTCATCTCTAATGTATCTATCAAGAAGCCTTTTCAGCATTTTTAATATAAAATAAGATAGACTTATCGGTCTATATGACTTTGGTCAGATACTTTACCTACCTTAGGCTTAGGCAAGTATATGACTTTAACCTTTTGCAATATTTCCGGTACGACCCCTTATGCTAAACTGGCTTTGAGGAGCTTGTATAGGTGTGGTATCAATTCCTCTAATCCCATATGCAACAGTATTGTATACATGCCATCCGTCCCTGGAGACTTATATGGCCGAAACTTATTTATAGCCCATCTAATTCTGTTTGGTCTTGTGATTGTTGTGGCTATTTCCTAATCTGTAGACCTTGGCCTAGTGAGCCTTTGGTCTATGTTGGTTTGCCTATCTGTATCATCCAGAATTGTTGGGCCCGGAAAGTGCATGTTTATCAGTTCTCTAAGACTTTCCTCTTTGGTGTCCGTAAATTTGCCATTAGCTTTCTTTAGAAAACCTACTTCTTCCGTTGTAGCACCATGCTTTGTCAGGACTTTATGGATTCGAGAATATGCCGGGATATCTGTAATCTCCTCGCAAAACTCTCACCATGAATTCCTTTTAGCTTTCCGGATTTCTTTATTGTATAGCGTTAGCTTATACTTATAGGCATCCCTATCTTGGTTACTTTTGACAGGCTTCGGACTTCCAATCTCATTCTCTTCAAGCCGTTGTTCCACCAGACTGTATTACTGTCCGTACTTTTTCTTGTTTTTTCTGGACAGTTTTCCTGGTAAGCCGCCATAATAGCTTCACTAATCGTTTCTGCCGTCGAAGCTATAACCTCTGGGACTTTAAACAAGATTATACTTTCCTCGAGATTTTTACTGAGGGACTCCCTATATACTACCCACTTTGTATCTCTAGGATTTCTGTATTTAATTTCCGATGGAAAAATATCAAGGTCAAATCGTATATTTCTGTGATCCGAACATGAGGGTTCGTCAGACACAACCCAATTTGTTATTATATCACTTATCTTGCTTGTGTAGAGTGTTAAATCTAACACTTCTTTGCGTGTCTTAGTGACAAAAGTTATCTTGTTTCCTATATTGGATATAACCAAACCTTCAGATAAGATGAAATTCAAAATAGACTCACCCTTTGCTTTGATGTTTGTGCTTCCCCATATGGTGTGGTGTGCGTTGGCATCACATCCTATCATGAGCTGTAATCCTTTTCCTAGACAATATGCAACTATGTCGCTTATAATGCTTGGTGGACACAAAGCCTCATCACCTGGAAAGTAGGCTGAACATATCACCAGTTTCTTCTCTCTTACTTCCGTGGTTATAGTTAAAACAGCTGTAACAATATCATCGGTGCAGAGCACCGGGATTAGTGTACAATCTGCTCTATTAATGTGAATTATCCAATACCTTGGCCTTATAGCTTTGGGTATGTATAAAACCTTACCTTGTTTGGTTGATAGGCCAGCAAATCTTCTCACCTATCCTCCAAGGGGAATACCTAATCCGCTTTCTGTTTTTTATGTGTGATAATAACAATGGTAATTTATTTAATGATAGTGAGGTTGAAAGTAGTCATCAAGTAAATTAAAAAACAATAAAAACAGTAAATAAACAAATAAAAAGGAAAAACATTTACTGTTAAGTGGTTAGAAGATGAAGCAATGTTGAAATTACAAACAACTCACAGAAAACTAAGTATTATTCAGGTCTATGCTCCAACAAGTGACATGTCAGACAAAGAAATCGAAAAATTTTATAAGAGGTGAGATAACAATGATCATGGGTGACTTTAACGCTAAAATTGGTCGTGGTGCTGAAGGACACCACTTAGGAGCATACGGTCTGGGTACCAGGAATAATAGAGGAGATAGACTTGTACAATTCTGCGTAGAAAACAATCTGTTAATAGCCAATACCTTCTTCAATTGACTTCATTTTGCTCAATAACACATTTAAAAAGTACATACAATCTACGAAAACATACTCGATCTGATATACATAGCGATCGTAATCCAGTTATAATGGATTTTAGATTAAAAAGATTTCTCGAAGTCAAAAAGAAAACAGTGACAAGAAAAATAGACATCTTACAACTGAAGAACCCTGAACAGAAAAAAGAAATAAGTATCAAGCTTGAGAAAGAAATGATAACGATCGAAAACTTGGTATAGACAGACATTAAAGTGACATGGACTGCTCTAAAAACAAAAATAACAAAGATACAAGAAGACATCGTGTTCATAAAACACAACAAAAAACAAGAATGGATAACGCAACAGATCATGGACCTCATGGGCGTAAGATGAAAACATAAAACAAGCCCAATAGAATACAAGCGAATCAATAAAATCATTAGAAAAAAGTGCAAGGAGGTGAAAGAAAACTGGATGTCAACAAAACGCCTAAAAATTGAACAACTTCAGGAAAAATACGACACCTTTAATATTC